GTTTGGTTTGGTTCAAAACCATTTCGTTGACGGGTCCACGTGGCATCAAACCGCCGGTTTCGAAATTGCGGTTTCGGTTCGGTCTTCCGGTTTGGCGGTTTTTGCTTACAGCCCTAATTGAGAGCACGTTTTGGGTGAAAAATGGTGGAAGCTAAAATGTCCTAATCTGTGGATCAGTTTTATGATAAACTGAGGTAACTTAAGGGAAGTGCCTGTTAACTAACTCGTGCAAGAATGTTCATAATTCTCAAGCAACATAAGTTGCACAAACTTTGTTGAAGAGCTCTATTTTAAATTGATAATTTCTTGATTTTTTTGGAACTGTACTCCCCTCATTCATTGTTGAATAAGTGGCCACCTAAGAAAGCTGCTAGGTTCATAATTCTGGAAAAAAAGGTTTATGAACAGATCTTCTGCAGATGAATAAATTTACATCCTTTCAGTACACGAATACATTGAACATTTGAAATTATAGTTTTAACATAAAGAACTGCATTTTGATTATTCTTCCTGCTGATTAATTGTACCATCAGGCACCGAAAGTCACCTTTAAGAAACCTATTGGAAGTGTGAGTGTCTCGGGCCACAAGTTTGTGGGATGCCCAATGCCATGTGGTGTCCAGATAACAAGATTGGAGCACATTAATGCACTCTCGAGGAATGTTGAATACCTAGCTTCTCGGGACGCAACTATGATGGGAAGCAGGAACGGGCATGCACCAATCTTTCTCTGGTATACCTTGAATAAAAAAGGATACAGATGGTTCCAGAAAGAAGTGCAGAAATGCCTTCAGAATGCTCACTATTTGAAAGACCGTCTTAGGGATGCCGGTATTGGGGCAATGTTAAACGAACTCAGCAGCACCGTTGTTCTTGAACGTCCTCTGGATGAAGAGTTCATTCGCAAGTGGCAGCTCGCATGCCAAGGAAATATTGCTCATGTGGTGGTTATGCCCAATGTTACAGTCGAAAAGCTCGACAAATTCCTGAACGAACTTATTACTCGACGTGCAACATGGTATGGTGATGATGGGAAGCATCAGTCTCCTTGTGTTGCGTCAAATATAGGCAAAGAGAATTGTCTTTGCTTTCTGCACAAGTGAAGAAGGCTAGGGTTTTAGAGAAGCTGCTGTGAGTTTGTTTTAGGTTATAGTTGTTCGTTTGATTTCATCTTACTGTGAACTATTTTTGGGTTAAATGAATGTTCGCTATGTAAGGATTTTAATCGAACATGTGGGCATATATGTGAAATATTATGTATTAAATTAAAGTGCAAATTACCCAATTCCTTACTTTTCAAGATCTATTTTTCAAAATCAGATTTCAAGTTTTAATTTTCAAAAATCAGATATTTATAATTAGATACAAATTATATTTTAATTTCATCCCAAATCAAACCATAAATTCACTTCTCTCACTCTCTGTCTCTCACTTCTCTCCCTCTCCGTCACCGGTGACTTGATGGAGCATCGGCGGAGGCGGCCTCGTCCGTTGGAGTTCAGTTAAGGAAGGAAGTTGGAGTCTCATATGGGAAAAGGAATAGCCGCCCCGAGACCCCTTTAGTCAGAGGGAAGTTTGACGGACAACGATGCTTCAACTGAAGAGGAGAAATTGTCAGCTGAAGTTCGCCACAAAAGTAGCAGCAGAGCTAGGGTTACTGCCTCGGCTAGGAAACTTGCTGCCGGACTCCGGTAGCTTCAATTGCCGGAGTTTGAGACTAATGGTGGCCAAAGGTTAGGGATTCAGGTACTCCATTCAAATTTTTAAAAGATACTTTTCAGAGCTTTTCAAATGTTTGTGGAGCTTTTCAGACCTTTTAAAAGATTTGGAGCTTTTCAGGTACTGTCCATTCAAATGTTTGTGTGGTGGCTGTTTTGTGGTGGTGGTGTGGTGGAGGTGGCGGTGGTTGTGGATGGGACGACGTGGGGTAGGGATGTTTGTTGGTGGTTGTTGTTGTGTGGTGCAGTCGGCGACGGTGGTGGTGGTGGTCATTTTTTGTTGTAGGTGGTTGTCGTGTCAAGGTGTAGGTGGCAGCGATGATGGTTTTGTAGTTGAATATGTGATTTGTTCGTTGTTGGTATGTTTTGGTGGTGATGGTTTCTGGTGGCGGTGGAGGTGGTTGTTGGTGGCGATATCGGTTGTGGTGGTGTGACCGAGACTTATAAAATAAATTAAGCTATAAGTTCATTAAAAAAATTAAGAAATGTCCATATTTTAGAACCCGAATAAATGTATAAAATACACTTATCAAGTTTCTCTACCTCAACCACAAATTTTAATTGAAAATGTTGTTGGGAATGGTTGAAAGGGCCATTATATTAAGATTAGTATTAAAGAACTGGTTTATCCACATAAATGATTAATAACTTTTCTTTGATTCCTTTGCTTGCTCCAGCACAAAGTTTATAAGGCGGGTGAGGGGAAAGTATACAAATGAAAAGAAGCAAACCTTCATTCTCCTTACACTTTCTACAAGATATATAAATGTGAAAAGGAAGATACATAAAACCAATAAAGTGAAACAAAATACAAGGAAATCACATAAGCACTTACAACATACTTGATACGCAATATTAAACAATACTTCATGTAAATTTTTTAAAATCTTGTTCGACTTTCGTTATAGTCCATTTGAACCGATCAATTTAGTGAGACCAAAAGTGATTCGATGGCCAACCACCCTCCAATTAACACCCTCAAGGAAGATCTCACAAGAGGCGCCCTCCCTAAAAGAGCTCCAACTCCTCCAAACCCTAAAAGTGCAATGCTCACGGCGACGACCACTACCCGCAACCTCACATTGTAGTCACTTATGAACGCTGCCGCCAGCAAAGGCACCAATGAGTCTATAAATATGGATTTTAATCCCTATCAAATATGAGCAAAATAAGATCTTTGCCCTTGTTTGGTGGTAATTATTTGGTCAGAACAATATTTTGAACAGTAATTTTTAGGAAAATATGAGGTTAAAAAGTTTTTTAAAAAATTGATTTACGTACAGAATATTTTATTGAATCAATGTTTGGTTGAAAAATAAGTATGTAGAAAAAAGTGTTTTAAAATAATTGTTGTCAAACGAGTTATGTTTTTCACATTACTTGGTCTTTCATCTCAATTTATCATTAAAATTTTATTTGTTGTAAATAAAATGCTATTTAAGAATGATCATTATAACTCTACAATTCTAATTATAACCTACAAAATACTTCGTAATCAAGTGTACTCAGAATTGACACTATTTTCATCATTTATATTTCTCTCTCCATTCTTTTTATTTCATAACACGTTATTAACACGGTTAAGAAATTTATGGGAAAATTCATACATTTAGACTAGCCCTTTTTCAAGAGCAGTAGCTCAATATTTTTTTTCAATAACATTGGAATTTGTAATGTCATGCTCTTTACAGATGAGAAATATTCTCCAAGAATATTAATATAATATTATGTTTCTTTTGGAGCAACTATCAATTGTCATTCTGAAATATTAAACTGCACAAGGATTTGATTTTCATGAGCAGCGGTACAATATACTTATAAATGTTTAATTTTAAAAGTTATGTTCATAGAGAAAAAATATAATATTCCATTGGAAAGCATAACATGAAGTTTTTTAATAAAAAAAAAATTACAGTGTATTATTCTTATATAATATCAATATGTATAAAGCCATTACTTGAAACTAATGGTGGCAAAAAAGTTTGGAAACTCGGATGGCTCGGGCTCGGCCTGGCTGGGGCCGAGCCCCACTTTGGGGAGTCGGCTCGAGCCAGGCCCGTGGCCCAGGCGAGCCTCCTAGTGAAAAAATTTTTTTTTTTTTAGCAAGGCAGCTAAGAAAAAATAATAAAAAAAAATCAAAAAAGTCGAGCCGGCTCAGCCCGCTAACGCTCGGGCCGAGCCTCATTTTTTTTGGTCGGGCTCGGCTCGGACCAAAAAAAGCTCGGTTCAAAAAAGCTCGGGCTTGGCTCAATTTTTTTTTTTCGGCTTGACTCGTTGACATCGCTACTTGAAATAACTCAATATTATTTTAGAATAATGAATATTTGTATCTAAATTATGCTTTTACTTGTGCATTAACACATTTATGAGAAATAGATTTTACAAAGTTAATCTTCGAAACTGATGCAATATCTTCTAGAATATTAATTTGTATAAAATTTTAGTTTCTTCGATAATAATAAAATAATATTCTTCTTCATAATATATGTAGTTGATTTGGTATGAAAGAAGAAAAAATCCAACGACATGACAGATACAATAATTGTCAACTAGCTGCCAGTCGGATTGCTTTTGGAATATAGATGCTATTGCCTTTTTCGTCGTATGGAATAATTTTTAATAATTTGTATTTTGATTTGGACATTCGTGAAGATGAAATTATGATGTAGGACAATTTTATTGCAAATAAAATAATATTTAGATATTTATAATAAGATATTTAATTGTAATATATTTTTTCTTTTTATTCTTATTTATAATTTAGAATATAATTTCTTTTCTTTATTGATTAAAATAGGATTTTCTAATTTCTTTTATATTAGAATTTTATTTAAAATTCCTTATATTAGTAAGATTAGGGAATAATTTTGCATGTATATACAAAAATTTTGTACTTCAATAATCAATACAATACATAAAATTATTCACTGCATAGTTTCTAATTTATTTTATTTTATTCTTGTTTCAAGAATTTCAATTCCACTTCCGCATTAAAATTGATATCATACCAAGATTTGCCCTTGACTAATGATTACTTATGATTCGAGGATTGCAAAACCAACTTTGGTCCAGAATTTGGAACAAATGGTGGATATGTTTGAAGATGCAGATGATAAGAATTTACAGACTTTAATGGTTATGAATGTTGGTTGCTTAAACAAGCCTAGAACACGGCAATAGGTGACTATAGAGTTTCCTCAAGTTCTAACGAAGTTTGAATACACTTAAGTTATCAAAAATTCTGCAAGGTCTATCGAGAAAATATAAAAGAGTCCAATTTGAAGCAAAACAAGATTTTTAGAACACGATGCATTATCAATAGTAAAGTATGTAACATGATAATAAACTATGACAGTAGTGAGAACTTGGTATCCAAAGCATTGTAAATGCTTAAAATTTGAAGACGGGAAAATACCCATCCTACAATCAAGATCCACAAGTTAATAGGAGACAAGAAATTCAAAATATGGAGGTTTATAAAATTTCACTTTATATTGGAAAGTATTACAAAGATAAGACTATGTGTAACATGGTAGAGATGGACGACCGTCATATACTTTGAGGACAACCATGGTACTGTAATGTAGATATCTCTTACATAGGTCAAAACAACAGATATGTGTTTTGGTGGTACGATAAGATGATTATTTTGATGTCATGTGATAAGCAATTTGTGAGTACTAGTGTAAACAAAGAGAAAAGACTCATAAGGTAGATGATAAGGTTAAAAAAGAATGTAATTCAAAATAATCACGATGTTACCATCGATGATACTATAATAAAAAAAGAAAAGCATGTGGAAGTTGAAAACTCGAAATATGATCCCTTATACATGAAAATTGACAATGAAAATTAGATTAAAGATGAAAAACACTCCGATAAAATTACAATTGAAAACCTCAAAATCGAGCTGCGCTTTCATGACGAACAAGTTGAAGTTCAAAAGAGTCTAGTCGAACATTATGAAATTGAATTTTCCAATCACAAAGGGGTCAAATATGACGCTTATCAATCAAATTAGGAAAAAAAAAGTTTCATAAATCTTTTCTACCATCTGAATGTCAAAGAATTTTATAATCGCAAATAACTGAAAACTCTAATTTTTATATGTGAAAAGGGATTCAATAATGAGAGATTGAAAAAAGTATCACTGGATATTGTAGTAGAAAATGAGGAGTATGAAGAATTGAAAATAGCACCAGTGACCTCTATCGAGGGTGGAATTAAGGATGAGAAATCAAATCATGCTTCGTTTATAAAGGAATGTCACGTAGAAATTGTATGTGAAGAAAATATAATGAACAAGGTGAAAGCGATGTTGACTTCAAAGAATGCAACTGAAAAATTTAATGATGTTTATAGAGCACATCAAGAAATTGACATTT